GTCACACACGGCGGCTAGAGTGAGCGGCGGCGGCCTACAGTGAGGAACGGCTGGAGGGCTAGAGTGAGCGGCGGCCGGCGGATTTGATGAAGGAGCGTCCGGAGGGCTTGCGGCAACATGTGACGACCCCGGGCTGGACTCCGCTTCGTCCACGGTGAAAGCCGATCCGGCGATCCACAGCACTAAGTTGATGTATTTCCTCAGCGACCAGCACGGATCAGCTCCAGGCATGACGAAGCAGATATCGTCCTCTTTTGGAAGACCAAACAAAGTAGTTTCGCTTTCACAACGAATCACACAGTGCCTTCACAACATGGCAGCGGCGGCAACAACAATACTACAGTGTGAATAAACGTTACGCCTTCTTTCTTTGCGTGAACATTTGGGCGGCGTTATGCAAATCTTCCCACATAGTGACGTAGATATGTAACTTTACAGATCTTCTTTATGCACCAAGAGCTTGTAACACTCCAAAGAGAAAGGAAAAATTGAAATTGCATCATATGACCCCTTTAATCAAATTCAGCTTTGACCACAGGAATAAACTGCATTTTTAAAACGTATTCACATTTAGAATAATATTTCACAATTTTACTCTGCTTTTGATCAAATAAATGCAGCCTTTGTGAGCACAAGAGGCTTCTTTCAACAACATTTAAAAATCTTACTAGCCCCAAACTTCTTAATGAGAGTGTACGTTCAAACAAAACTCCTATAATTGGTATCTTTACCTAAATGTTTGTCACATGAACAGCTAGTCAGTAATTAGTAACTGAGCCATCACACAGTAACAGAAGTTCATTTTGATTTGGACACGACTTATGATTCTTTTTGACCAATTCATTTGAACAATCATTTGTTCAGGAATGAGATTACAATGTTCCAATCTAATACAGACTGCTTTAATGAGACTTTTATGATGCTTTTGTGGAGTTTTGTCCCTTTTTAACTTTAGCATTCTGCAAAATATCTCCTTTTGTGTTCGAGTGAAGAAGAAAAAAACACAGGTTTAGAACAACAAGAGAGAGAGTAAATGAATTTTCATTTGACAGTAAACGATTCCTGCAATGTTTACCTGCAATGGCAGAAGTGATTTGGACTGTCTGATGGCATCAGCGCTGGTCAGTGAGTTAAAGCAAACAGACAGAGCTATTCCCAACCTTCATCGTGATGTGAACATCCATTTTTGGACTGGATCAGACCATGCTCTTAAACACTTCTGAACGAGAAGATCAATACATTTTTTCGGTTCCAGAGTGAATCAGACCTCTCAGATTAGGCACCAAAAAGTGGACTCTGGTGTGACCACAACTGTGCTATTACGCTGGAGAGGCCTCTCTTCTTTCAACAGAGAGGTAGATCACCTTCCAGCCGACTCGATTTTAATCCGATTAAACCTCATCTTCGCCTTGGGCCGACGTTGTTTAACCTTGTTAACCTAATCCTTCTCGAGCCATGATGGACACAGCTAATTGTCTAGAGTCTAATTGTATGGGACGGAGACGGATCGTTCGTAACTTTCCATCTGCGAGGAGAGAGGGTGCCAGACTTTCAGAGGGGTCAATGTGAATTTTTGTTAATTTATTGCAGTGATTGAAAGCCCATTTCTGAATGATGTTGTGTGGTGCTGACAGTCTCTTCACCTCATTTGATTAAGAGGCAATGCTATAAGGGCTTGAAATCACTGGCGTTTTCAATAGCAACCAGGAATAGCCTTGGAGAGAAGAGCGTGCTTCTTTACAGCCAACTGCTGCCTGTAGAAAAGAGAGTAAAAGGGTGGTCAAATCATAAGAAATCAAATTTTCTTTGATTTTTTTTTCCTGTTAAATAAAATACATGTACTATGAAAATGTACTGTAAAGTTTAGAACTTCCTCCATACTAAATAAAAGAGGATTCATTGAAACTAAGTTACACAAACAGCTCGTTCTGAAGGTCTTCAACTTTTTAAAGTAAGACAGATGAATACCGTACATGGTTTATATAGGAATCATAAAGACAACACTGCAGAATAGGGCAGTTGAATTCAAAAGGTCATATAGAGATGGTGGAAAATGGTTTTAAAAAATAAATGACAAATGAAAAAAAAAAACAACAACTTTAGAACCACACTAGGTTGACATCAGAAAATTAAAAAAAGAAGAAAACAACATCAATTATAATAAAAATAAATGAATTACTTGATATTAATTAATTAATATAAATCAATATTAATTAATTAAGCAATAATAATATTATCAATATAATTATCAATTAAAATGTTAAAAAAATTTTTAATGTATGTTATATATATCAATCACACACAGACAGTACAAAATTAAATAATAACAAATAATAATTGCAAATATATTACAATGTTCAAAAAATACACAATGTATGGCCATTTATATAATACACATAATTATATCAACTGTAATAATCGCAAATTTCAATTAGTTAATAGGGGTCAATCATTATATATATATATATATATATATATATATATATATACACACACACACACACACGCACGCGCGTGCACGCACATACACACATTTCAATTATTTAAATGGAATCATATTTTGGCATTATTAAATGAATGGTATACAGATTTTTTTATGAAATGGTTTAAAGTAGCAGATTAAACTAAAACTACTATTACCATCTTTTTCCACTTGTCTGCCTGTAAATATGACATATTTACCCTCTTTCCAGGCCATTGAGTGCATCACACAGGGGCGAGAGCTTGAACGGCCTCGAGCCTGCCCGAAGGAAGTGCATCTCCTCATGCAGGGCTGCTGGCAGAGAGAACCGCAGCAGAGGCTCGTCATCAAGGACATCTACAGCCGGCACGTGACCCTCGTCAAGAACCCGCCCATCTATCTGGACATCCTGGAGTAGCAGCACCCTGATCGGACCTGCATGGAAAAGACAGTTCTGGAAGCAGGCTGGTTGAGGAGGACAATCAGTGGTGGGTTTTGGACGGACACAATTCACAAACTGACTCACATGATGTGCAGTATGAACGTTTCCAGTGTTTGTTGATGTGTATGGTTTAATCCACTGGAGGTGTAAGATTGTGTTCATGTGTTTAAATTTGAGGGAAAAAAAGTAAGAGAAACAGACTAAGTAAATAGACAGTGGATACTTTGAATATGCATTAGTGGAAATTGCTCATGGATCTTCATGACTCACCCTGAAGAGACACTAGATTTTCTATATGAGGATACTGATGTCAAGGTCTTGTAATTAAAGGTCATTAAAGGTGAAGTGTGTAATTTTTCTCAACCCAGTCTAATATGCAGACACTGTAGGTCGATTTTCCCAATAAATGTAAAACTGTTGCTCTGTTTGTTTGCGCATCACGCCCTGCCTGACATAGCAACAGCGATTCAACCAATGGCATGAGTTTGGGGGCGGGACTTGCTGTTTGTCTGACCAATGGGGAGAGTGGAATCCTGGGCTTGTATTACAGAACCATCCTAACCCATAATCATATTCTATTTACAAGGTTTCTGCAGGATTTATGAAGGTCAATTTAAGACTTTTTAGGACTCTTTTCAGACTACCTACTGATCACACTGCAAAAAAATAAAAAAAATAAAAATAATAATAATAATAATGTTCTTCCTAAGTATTTTTGTCTTATTTTCCAGTGCAAATGTGTAAAGATTCATAAATCAATAAAATACATTTACTTGAGATGCAAAATGACAAAAGAAGTCTTGTCTTCTGAGAAATGTATAAAAATGAAGAGAGTTTAGAACAAATATCTACCAGTGAGCTCAATTCAAAGAGAGAAAAATTATACCCCACTTTTAGATATTTGTTCTTGTTTTAAGCATAACCTCACTTCGTTCAATTTATCACAAAACCAGACTTCATACCTTCATTTCGCATCTCAAGTAAATGTATCTTGATTTAAGAATATTTAGATGTCAAGAATTACAATAGGAGGTTTCTGTAATACAGCTTATTTTAGCATTTGGTTTTAGCATTTGGTTCTCTAATGTCACTCTAATGTCACATTTATTACATACTTCACCTTTAACCATCATGTGCCCCTCAAACAAAGACTCTTAAGTTGCTGTGGTTTACACGTTGTGCCAACCTGACCGCATTTCTTTTCGGTGTCTTGCGATTATGGATATACTAAATCAATTTGTTATGCGTGATCTACACATGCATGTATTGTACATCTCTCCATGTTTAACAGCAATGTCCTGTTATGGCTCCAAGTTCTGCTTTATTTTCTATATCAAAAACAGCAACAATGTCAGCAACAACACAACAGTGGAGACACACAGGCTGTGTACGGAATGGAGTACTAACGTACTGTATACTATTATTTATTTGAAACCGCATAAAGTATGGAACGGAAAACTTTTCAAGCAGCTGTTGTGTCACATGTTTAATGCAAGACACTACAGGTGAACAGAGTAAATATTTGAACAAATCACCATACTTTTCCCAGTTGATTAGTCACAGTGCATTAAGACAATTGCTTTGTATTACAGGTTTTATGAAATGTTTAAAATTCAAAAGCCACGTTTAAAATTCTTGAGATTTTAAGGTTTTAACAGAACATTTATCCTATTTTATCACTCCATGAATTAGAAAATACCGTCAACAGCCAGAAGAAAAAAAAAATCATATTTTTAGAAATAAAATGTTATATATGGAACATTCTGGCAAATGTTACGTGAACAAACCATTCTGCAAAAAACTTAATAATATTTATAATAATAAAACTGGATAGTCTGGTGTGTGTAAGAAAAAACTCATTTTGAAAAATATGTTGTCATTGAAATCTATAAACATTTATAAACAATAAACACTTAAATGTGCATTTTGGATGTTTTGAAAGCAAAATAGTCCAAAATCTCAAAATTGACTAGTGCATGAAAAAACAGATTTTACACAGTAACAGTAGTGTCTTGCCTTAATTTGAAAAAGTTACTATTTTTAATCTAATTTTGTGTTAAACTGTTTCTTAGAGGTCCATTGCAATGAATTCTATAATAATACCTGCTTTCCATGAGTATTTTCCAGTCATCTCAATGGCTCAGCAGGCGCATGCAGCCCTGGAAGTACACAACATGCACGATGCCATCTTTGCTCATGGGCTCTCAGTTATGGCCTTATTGTATTTTTAGCCATAAATGCCTTGTGACTAACCTCTTTAGAGCCACACGCTGCAGTATGCAAGTATGCAATTCCGAACACAGCTGGAAATCCAGCATGATACTGGTGTAAGGGCAGAGATCAATCAATCAAATACTAATTTATCATACAGCATGTTAAGCTGCAGTGGTCACTGTTTACCATTTTATAATTTCATTAATGGGTGCATCACTTTTATGTACTGGTTGTGCCTCTTGTACATAGTCTAGTTACTGAACTGCATTATTTTGTATATTGGTTATTTGTGTTTTCTTTTTTTAAACTGCAATCTTACCTAGTGTTTCAGAGATTGAATATTATTTCACAGATACAAGCTGGAAATCATAACAGTATTTTTAAAGTATAAAATTAAAGATAATTTCCTTTAACAATAATTAATCAATAGCAGTCACAGAACGTTGGCATCTGACAGCTACACTATCATTTGTGTAACAATTTGGATAGACAATGTATAATAGATGTATTAAACTTAATTTTCTTCAATCTCTTTTTTTTTTTTTTGGCAGTTTTTGTATGTCATAATATTGTTAATCTCACATTATTTTGGCATGATGTTCATATTATGCTCTATGGATTACAGTGCACATTTACCAGAAACGAATGTGTAGAAAATATCAGTCATTTCAGTCAACAAACACACCATAGACTGCTATTGTTTTTATATAAAACTAATTATACATACAGTGGGGTGACGTCCAGAAGTCTTGAGACCACATTGTAAATTGAATTCAAAATGTCATTTAGGCCTGTAAATAAACAGAGTATTTTTTTGGAAACTTTAAAACCAAGTAATGCTATGATGTAAAATGAAGAAGATATTTAATATTCTGCATTATTATGGTCACTAATCATCCTTTGTATAAAAATTACAATTAAAAATAGAAGGTATTCCACCATCTTAAAGGGGTCCTATTATGCTCTTTTACAAAGTCTTGATTTTGTTTTGGGGGTGTACTAGAACAGGCTCTCATACTAGGTTGTTCGAAAAACACATTATTTTTCACATATTTTACATTATTACAACACCTCTCTCCCCAGTCTGGCATGAACGACTCGAATAGTTCCTGTATCAAATGAAAGCCCGCCTTCTGAAATACGAAATGTGCTGTGATTGGTTAGCAAGGCCAGTGTGTGTTGTGATTGGCACCACTCGGCGCCTGGTCGGGAAATGGCTCAAACAGCAACATTACAATTCAATTCAATTCAAGTTTATTTGTATAGCGCTTTTCACGATACAAATCGTTGCAAAGCAACTTTACAACAAATTAGGTTTCTACAATATTTAGTAGTAGCTTATCAGACTAACTAAAGTTGAAAAAGTGAAAAAAACATAATAGGACCCCTTTAAAACTGTTTCAGGTCCCATTGACTACTATAGTATTTTTTTGTCTATACTATGGAAGCCAATGGGACACGAAACGGTTTGGTTACCAACATTCTTCAAAATATCTTCTTTTGTGTTCTGCAGAAGAAAGAAGGTCATACAGGTTTGGAACGCCATGAGGTGAGGTTTGGGAAGGCTATCCTTTTAACTGTACAAATATTTTCAATTGAAACGTCTTTTAAATGTAAAATAAACTAAATACATAGTTGAGTGCAAATAACTCGGCAGAGGTGATGGGAGATAAAGAGGAAATTTACAGAAACCAACAGATGGACAGAGGAGATGCTGGTAGAAAGTGACAGATGGAGGTGAAGTTGAAACCTCGGTGTCATTAGAGATTACAACATAGACATACCATGAACATACTGTACAGCAGCCTGAAAAAGCCCATTGTTTCATTTTCTCTGTCTGTAAAGAAATGTGGCAACTGTGATCCTTCGACAAAAAATTGGCTATTCACGACGCTGTTCTGAACAAATATATGGGTGCTTTCGTAAGGAGCGCCTGGTCGGGAAATGTCATGCCCCTTACCATAGACGCCTGCGAGCTTCAGTGTAAATATTGCGTCAATATCAAATCAATTTGAGCACGAATAAAACCCGGATGATTGTAACCACTCTAAGTTCGTCTGCCTTGGGAAAACTAGCGCGTGTCTCCGACATAGTGATGATAACACTCGTGGCCTTCTCTAGTGCAGCTCAACCAGGTCTCATCCCATTCGTCGATATTTGTGATATCACAAATCCCGGAAAATATGCATTGTAGTCCAAACGAGTCGTTCGTTGTAGTTTTTGAAAAGTGATTTCTGTTAAATAAAATATCTCCTTTTGAAGTGGACTTTGAGCTTTGTAACTTTGCAGATCTTTGTTATGCTCAAACAGCAACATTACAATTCAATTCAATTCAAGTTTATTTGTATAGCGCTTTTCACGATACAAATCGTTGCAAAGCAACTTTACAACAAATTAGGTTTCTACAATATTTAGTAGTAGCTTATCAGACTAACTAAAGTTGAAAAAGTGAAAAAAACATAATAGGACCCCTTTAAAACTGTTTCAGGTCCCATTGACTACTATAGTATTTTTTTGTCTATACTATGGAAGCCAATGGGACACGAAACGGTTTGGTTACCAACATTCTTCAAAATATCTTCTTTTGTGTTCTGCAGAAGAAAGAAGGTCATACAGGTTTGGAACGCCATGAGGTGAGGTTTGGGAAGGCTATCCTTTTAACTGTACAAATATTTTCAATTGAAACGTCTTTTAAATGTAAAATAAACTAAATACATAGTTGAGTGCAAATAACTCGGCAGAGGTGATGGGAGATAAAGAGGAAATTTACAGAAACCAACAGATGGACAGAGGAGATGCTGGTAGAAAGTGACAGATGGAGGTGAAGTTGAAACCTCGGTGTCATT